AGATAAATCAGTGCAATAAATAGATGAATCAGTGCAATAAATAGATGAATCAGTGCAATAAATAGATGAATCAGTGGAGCAGCTCCCCCTCGGGAGGGTGGCAGTGTGTGCTGGGCTCTGGGGCTGTTCTGCTAAGGCACATTATTCATGCTCCCTTGATTCAGGTAGGCTTTCCAGCATGGGAGCGTCCTGCTAAGCCTGGGAATGCGGGGCACCGAGACCTATTCAGGGCCCTGTGACATGGACCCAGCTTTTATTGCTTTTCTGGGGGTTTATTAGCACCAAATCCCAGGCTCCACCCAGTTTGCAGGCGCTGTGCCCATTCTTTGGAAGCAAGAGAGGTTATCACCTACCTTAATCCGTGCAGAGGGCTGGATTAAGGACACCAATGTGCCTCGGGATTCTCAAAGAGGATCCTGGAAACTTCTTGTTTCTTCTTTTTTGCTGTCTTTACTAAACTCTATTGGGCCTCAGGAAGGATTTGCATCTGAAATGGGCAACCTGGAGCTTTTCTCAATGAAGACATCAGATCAAAGTTCAGTTAGTCAAGGCCTTTCTAAAACATTAAGGGGGCTTGGAAGTACACAATAAAAAGATGAGCTCTGGCAGAGATTGCAGTAAAAACATTCTGATCTGTAATCCGGATAAAGAATAGATTATAGGCCAAAGAACAGCCCCTGTTTAAATTGCTTTCAGAATCCTTGTTTTGAATAAAGTTACATTTTACAATAAAAATATTTAAATTTTGATAGAATGTTGTGTTTTATTGAACTGCCTACTTTAAAAATTAGATTCCAAGAAATAAATTGGTACACTGATTTAGAGAATGTACTTTTGTATTTTTTATTTTTAAGTAAAACTGGTTTGCCTCTAAGGACTCGATATTCGTAAGCAATTCCGTGATTTTTTTTTTTTTAATTAAAAACTAATTATTTCTTTTCATTAAAAGTTTGGGTTTCATTAGTTATTCTAGGAAAAGTATTGCATCATTGTTACTCCTGATATTTTCTGATAACTGACCAGGCTTAACAACTGTTAGTCAAATAATTTCAAAATATTTACCCTAAATCAAATCATTCTAATTAATCTTAACAGTTTAATAAATTTTTTTGTAAAATACTATTGTAAGTAAAAAGTAAGTAAAAGACTACTTGAATGTTTTATGCTATAACAATCTGGGAGGGGGAGCTAACTTTACCTGTATAATTCAAATAATACTGCAGGTTCTATTCTGAATTCCATTAATGTGGAACAAACAAATGCATTTATTTCCTCTATTTACTAGCACGTGTTCAAAATGTGTAATTCCTGACCAGGTATCTGTTAAATTGGGTTTATGATGTTTTATATACCAAAATGAAGATCTGAGGGATCTGTATCTTCATTGTGGCAAATCATAATTTTTGCTTATAATGCTCAACCTACTGTTCATTCAGTTTTCAAGGAATTAAAAATAGTTTTAAACTATTTCCTATTTTTCTATTAAAATCACTTATATGAAGATGCAGTGGTTTGGTTTTTTCACTGATCAAAAATAAGGGGAAACATTTTCCAAGTCAGCTGAAAATATTTCTATAGCACCATACAGTTGTCAGAGACTGAAAAATCAAAGGGGCAGAACACATGTCCTGCACATTTCATAGATCTTTGCAAATTTGTGATCATCTGCCTAGAACATATGCAAAAATACATTATTTTAATTATCTAACTGCACTTTGGTGCTGCAACTTGGAATAGTAAAGGTTGAACTCTGTGTGAAAAATTCCCATTCAAGTGTAACAACAGGGGAATGAGAACTTAGTAGTAAATATTATAATGTTTTTCTACTTGAAGCTTTTGTTGAGGCTGAATTGGGGAAAAGCAGAGCTTTGAAGTGTATTGCTACTTAATTACTCTCTTTTGGCAGATAATAGTTTAAGATTGTAATCAGTATTGTGTTTTCCACAGGCCAGCCCAACAACCTCTACAAAGTTTGGCCATTATTACGATATTTCTAAAAAAATGTCTCCAGAACTGTGTCAGTCTGTAAAATGGCACAGTTTTTACCTACATGAGGAATTGTCTTTCGAGCCTAAAATGAAAGCATGGTAAGTTTTGACACCACAGTCCTGCTGTGTGTTCAGATTTTTGCATGCACGTTGTCAGGAAAGGATATTTTTGTGCCTGCTCTTGCTGTGAAAAGCACTGTGGTGCTGGAGGAGGGCTGTGGGTCCCACTCAGTGCCACACTCAGTGCCTGCAGTGGCACAGAGACAGCTCAGAGCTCTGGGGGAGGGAGCACATGGCTCTGACAATGAAGGCAGACATTACTAGGACAAGCCTAGGACCCAGCTGCACGTTGAGGCCAGCCCTAGTGACAGGCAGTGTGGGGACAGGGGACAGCTATTCCTGGCTGCCTGAGAACCCTCCCTGAGCACCGAGCAGCTCAGACATGGCCTTGGCAGGTGGCTCTCAGTCTTAAAAGGGAATCTGCAGGTTTTAGGGCTTGGGAGACAGGCCATCCTTGACCTACATAGCTTAGAGTGCTGCATCACATTAGTTTGTGATGTGCTTTTACTTCTTACATCCTACAGCTTCCTCTAAGGAAAATACAATATACTGTGAATAAATTTACAATCACTAATTACGTCTTACAAAACATTTCCTATTCAAACTCTGCTCAGAATGAATAACTTATTATGTTTATGTCTGTCAGGAGTGAATTAAGGAAGACTGAGGGAAAATGAGTGACAGTAGCAAAGACTCCTCTTAGCCTGTAGACACACGTCCATTGTATCTTTCTTGGAGACACTTCAAGTTGAGTCAAACATCAAGGCTGGGCCAGCAATTTCTTTGTCCAGCCCAGTCACTGAATTTATATAATAGTATCATTTATATCATTTATATAATACCTGGCTTTATAGATCCCAGTGTATAGGACAAGCTCCTGGAGGCAGTGTGGGATTCCTTGGGACTGATTTCCACTGCAGTGCACTCATATAAAACCTCAGATTTATGAAGGCAGTGCAGTATGAGCCACCTTTCTTAGAGCTGTAGCAAAGCAAAAGCCAAGTCTCTCTCTGACTTGTTCTCTGTTACATGATCAAATGTCACTGCTTTGTGAAGTAAATTCTTGTGATGGTGTAAAAAAATCCTTTGGTGGACAAAGCAGAGAAGTTCTGTTCTTTCCACAGTAGATATTTGAACCAACTTTGTTTATGTGTTAATGTTATAATTTCTAATTTTTAGTAGCAGAGCAATAGAGGATGGACACAAAAATATCTGACAGGTTGCAAGTGTTGTTACAGTAATTGAGGAATTTAACTCACTTCCTTCTTCTCTAGCTAATGAGAATGTCTTGACTTACTCCACTAACTATATGGTTGTCAAGTATTAGTTCATTTTACATTAAAATCAAATTAACTCATCAGTATAGTATAAGAAATGGACTTATAAGCCTTGTTTAATGCTGATATTGTCCTTGTGTGCTAGCCTGATAAAATACATCATTCTTATTATGTGAGTTCTGTTCTTTTTTTTAGTTTAAATCTAACAGAAAGATTGGATTTATGTAATTTTCTTGGCAAATTGGTAGAGGTGAGAGTGATGAGGTGAGGAACACGATTAAATCAAGCTGAGCTTTGGAAGGCTTATCTCCTTTTCCTCCCTGCACCCTCAACGTGGATCTCCTTCAAGAAGCCTCTCGTGAGGAAATGAAGGAATTGTGGTGTTGGGAATAAAGGCAAGTACCAAAGTAACTGCCAGCCACCATTCTGAATACTGTCATGCAGTCTAAAAACTATAAAGTTTTTAGGAATAAAGACCACACTGGGAATAGCAAACTCTTCAAAGTCTGTAGGAGATGTAGAGTTGTGTAAATCTCTTTCTTTACAGTAGATAATTTCTCTTCTAACTTTGATTATTGTCATTTCTGACCACAAACATAGTTGGTTTTGGATTCCCTACTTTAAAAATGTTGTACTAGGTCAGTGTTAAGACAAGGTGGGAAGGAAGAGCTTTTCAAAATTACAGTCCCTGATATAAAGCTTAAAAAGAAGAATGGATGTTCTTGGCAAAATCAAAGCAGAGTTCGAAGCTGACATCCAGAGGATGGAACTCTGTCTTCTGCAGTCATGGGCTGCAGGAAACTGGAGTGGCAGAAATACAGGCAGGAAATATGGAGATGTTTTTTAATGATTTGCACAAGAAGTTGCCTTGCAGACACAAGCTGGGAGTATTGTAATGTGTCCATCACTAAAAATGTCTAAGGACAAGCCAGGTAAACATCTGTCAGACTTACTGAGGTCCTTTTCATCCCTGTATTTGTGATTCTTTAATTCACATTAGTCATGATGTATGAAATGCAATACTATTGAATTATTATGAATGTTACCAGTTATTTCACTGCTCTCAATAAGTTTGTGCTTTTACAGAAACCCAGCAGATTGTACTGCAATTTTTACAAACACTGTGATGAAATTCTGAAGGAAGCATTCTTTTCTTGAGGAATGAAAACAAGCTCAGAGTCCTCTCAGCATGATTTCTTTTTAAAAAGTTTCTAAAAAGGGGAGGGAAGGGATGTTATTTTGCTGGTTCTGCTGTTTGGAAAATCTTTTGAATGCTTTGGGCTTTTAAATCTAACTTCAATATATTGTAGATTAGTAAAATTCTCTGTTCTCTTGGTTTAGTAGACATTGATTTTAAAGTAAGTAGTCACAGGATAGTCACCTTCCAGTTGAAATCACCAATTGATATTAGACCTTATCTTGGATTGCCTGTGGGTCCTGCTGGGAGCCTGGGCCCTGGCTTGGTGTTGCAGTGAATGAGGAGCAGAGCCATGGCTGCTTAAAACATCTCAGAGCATGTTACATGGTTCTCAGCCCATGCCTAGAGCCATCCCCCAAAAATCATAACAAAACATAACTGCTTGCTTGTTTAGCATTGCAAAATCTGTGGAATCCATCATGCTGATGGTACCTCCAAAAAGTGCTGACAGCCTGAAAAGAAATTTTTTAAAAATTAGAGAAAAATTACTTGAAGTTCAGAAAATCTCTAAAAATTAACCTTTTTTCTTTCAATTTTTTTCTTTCTTTTAATTTAATTTAACGGAGGAAGATTGACAGAAAATTAACAGTGGAAGCTGAAAAATCCTTCCAAAATAAGGAAGCATTTTTTAAAAACTGAATAATTCGTCATTGAAATAATTTACATTAATTGGCTCTATATTATGAGATGCTTGCAGAAGATTTAATGACAATCTAAAGGGTAGATTTGTAAGATACATATCAGTAAAGATAATTCTGAATGAAATTTTCTCTTCAATTGTGTAGGAGTGCAGACCAAAAGCACTGGTGTGTTGTGGGGTTTTTTAAATCCAAGAATGTTTTCCTTTTGTCACTAATGCCAAGGTTGAGGAGGAAGTGGAAATTAATAATTTTGTCTGGTAAACAGTTTTCCATAAGTTAATGGTACTGTTGTTGAGATATGATGCTTCTTTCTAGTTCCAAAAGTTGCAAAAATTAGGAATTAGCTGGAAAAAAAAAGAACTTTTCCATCTTCTCTAAATGTTTCCACGTTATTTTATCTCACGTGTTCCGTTCTAAATATTTATTATTTATAATGTTGCAGAGCACGGCATGGTTTGAGCTCAGGCTGAAATAAATTGTTCTAATCCAGGTACCCATCATGGAAATTGTGCCTAAGCCAGTGCACACATCCCACATGGAGGTCATGGGCAGTGCCAGCCTCATCCTTCCAAAGAAAGCCTTTAGAAGCTCAGGGTTTTTTTTATTGCACCTTTTTGATTAAATTATCATACATATGTTGATGTGAGCAAGGTGTTCCCTAGGTGCTGTCCTCTTTGGGTGGGTTTTTTTTCTCTTTTCCTGCTACTTTTGTGTCACTGCTGGGGGTTTTTGGGGTCCCTTTGGGATCCCTGAGGCTGCTCCTGCAGCCCTCAGTGACAGAGCACGTTCCCCAGCCTTGCCCTGATGGAATTCTGGCTCGTGGGGAGCTCTCAGACCAGTGGGGAAAAGAAACCAGCACATGCAGAAAGGCACAAATCCATGGTTTATTCTATGAAGGCATCCTATCTACATATACCCACGGCTATTGTTTTACAGGGGGGTTATATCTTTTGAGGGTTTTACAATTTGCACCAATTACCAAGGGAATTCTACTTTTAACCAATCCCTGAGGGATTTTACATTCAAAGCTGGCCTATGGATGCTAAAAGAAAATGAACCACTAATATTGAAGAGAAATAAGAGGGTCTTCCAAGGGGGGGAAGCTAAATTCCTTTTGTATTTGTCATTTCACAGCCATTTCTTATCTCTAAGCTCTGGTTTTCCAAGGAGCTTGTTCTGAGGATGCAGGGAAACTTTCTTCTGTGTTTTCTGCTCCCTCCACACTTTTGTATGTAATTCATGTTCCTCAGAGAATGTACATAATCCATGACTTGTTCAGATGCACCTAGAATTCACCTTGTTGACCAACCTTACTTTTCCTGTTATTTTTTAAGTCAGAGGGGGACTCGTTTTGCAGCACCTTAAGTTTCATTTTTCCTCCTTGAAATTTGGCACATCTCTGCCTACCCTCCTTTCCTTTGGGAAGAGGTGGGGAGCAAGAAGAACAATTCTTTGCTCTGTTTTCATTTCACCACCCCAGGATATAACAACAGATTATGCATTTATAGCAGAAAATATACAGGAAAACTAATGTACCACATTTTCTTATTCAGCTTAGAGTCTCCTGTCAGAAACATGACTGTACTGAACATATAATTTAAAATCCTTGGAAAAACAATGCTGCATCCTTTTAATAAGAAAGTTCCTTTGTCATAACGTTTTGTGGCATGAAAATCATGCATCTATAAAAAGGACCAGATCATCCTCGTGCTTGTAAGTCCCTAGCACCACATTAAGAAGCCCATTTTATTTCACCTGTTCTTCAGTGAGTGAACTGTCTCTGTAATTGTAGCTAATGTCTTTTTTGAGATAATTACGAGTTTCCCTTGCAGGATCAGAGATGTAGGGACTTTATATAGGCCAGAAACTCTTGGCCCTTTTGAGAAATCATGTATATTTATACATATGTCCCCCTCTGGCTATCCACACAAACACCTGGATTCTTTATGGACTTGGAAAGAAAGGTGATTTTTTGACTGATTAGATTAAAATTGACCTTTTCTTTACAATTAAAAATGAGTTTTGGAGGTTATCAACGTCCAAAATTTGTTCACCTTAAAGTTTGGATCACTCCTCCTTTTCTTTCCTATGCTTTCACATGTGTGTGTGTGACAGAGGAAGGGGTGAAATTTTACCCTGCAAACTGGCACGTGGCAGACAGTGTAGGAATAACATTTAATAGCCATGTTTGCTCTCCTTTGTGCAGTTCTGGGACCTGATGGCTAGATTAGACTACAGAGTTCCCTTTGGATAATCACTCAACATGGATAGAAGTTCATTTCCCCATGGTAAAAATTAATTGCAAGGCCAGTTCTCCTAAAGGAAGTAGTAAACGTGCCTGGGTGTTTGGTGGCAAAAGAAGGCATAAAACCTTCTCTGTCTTATCTCATTTTTATGTTGGGGAAGGGCAGTTATGTGCTGGTGCTAATGCAGGTTTACAGGGCTGTGTGGCTGACAGCAACTGTTCTCTAGTGGTTGTTGCCAGGATATTCTGTTGTCCTGGTCACTGCTCTGCTGGAGCTGGTACCTGGCAGGAAGGCAGGAATATCCTCTCTGGTGGCTCTGTGCATTGCAGGAAATACTTACTTTTATTATTTTTCTTATCAGAAAAATTATAAAAAATATAGAAAAATAATATTTTCTTAGAGAAAGAGAATCCACTTATTTTTCTTTATCTCTACTTTCAGTCTCATTCTTCAGGGCAATTACCAAACAAGAAGGTTTGGTAACCAAAGGAACGAAAATAATCAAGTTGTAGCTTTTCAGTAATACTTGTAAATCTTACCTTAAGAATGTATATGCTTTTGAAAAAGAAAAGATTTCTCTAGAGTCTAGATTTACCAAGAAATTTAGATAAAATAGGTTTTACTGTCTTGCCTAATGGAGTCTCCTTTTCCATAACAAGGCTATTTGTCATACCCTTGATAAGCTAACCTTTGTTAAGTGCTTGGAAACTATCAGCAGAGGAGTCAGAGCCTTTGTTGTAACCAGGATACCTCCTTGCCACCTCCTGCTTTATCCATTACTAAAGTGCTAAACAAAAAAGAGTAAAGAAGGAATTGTTTAAACTCATTATCAAAATCAAATTGTGTTTAGTAACAAAACCAAAAAAAGACTAGAAAGTGGAAAATAAGAAATATCTTATTTCCTTCCTTAAATATTGTGACAAACATTGCCAGAAGGGTAATGCAACTTGCTTTTATAAATACTGTTTTTACATGTTTTTCATGTTCTTATTTGCATAAGATGGGTCAAATTCAAGGAAACCATGAATATTTTAGAAAGAGATAGAAGAGCACTTATTTTGACATTTTTTTAAAATCTACACACATTACATTATTTTCAAAAATTATTTCTTTGCTGCAAGTCTCTTTCTGGTAGATTAACTGAAGATCTATTTTATTTCTTTGTTTTAATTCTGGGACCTTTCAATCCTGCTAGTGCTTTGGTTATTTTATTCTTTTATCCACTAACTTTTAAAAACAAGTCAGAATCAAAAAGCAGCAAATATTTTGATTGCAGTATATTCTCTGGCAAAACCAAATTATCTGTTGTGATAATGCAAAGACACAGAGAGAGAATTTTGGCTACTTTGGGGGACTAAAGTTCATCCTGTAAACTGCCAGGCAGTGCAGGTAGAACATTTAATAGCCATTCCTTTTGCAACTGAATATTGGAAAATAATGGACTTGAGAAGTGAAACTTCCCTGTTGGAAGTGCTCTTTTTTTGTATAGCAGTGCAGACTTTATGCATGAAATATCATGTTGAGATTATATACTGCCAGTTAATTTTCAGCTCTTTCATAAAGGATATTAAATTATTAAAGTACATCAGTTTAATCAGTAGCCTTCTAGGGTACTAAATCTGAAACAAAAATAAATAGAGTTTAATTTGGAAACTCTCCTTTGTGTTGGAATCAGAGAAAGGTCATCTCAAAATGTTTTTTGACATTGATTATTTCAAAACCCAAATTTGTTAGGACCACATGACTTTTTTGATTGTAGATGTTTATAACTGAAATATACTTGAATTGTGTGGACACTGTTTTCTTAAAGGAAACATCGATTTTTGAGTTGAGGCCCTGGTGCAAAAGACAGATTATTGCAATTCTTACATGCTTCTCAGAAAACTTGAATTCTCTCCTGTGCTAAGGGATGAAAGCAAGTTAATTTGGGTTTATTCACCAGTAAAATGCATTTGGATAACAGTCTAGGCTCTTAGTAATGGTAATGGGAATATTTTCATTAAGGTGCCTTCCAGCCTGAGCTGTTACCAGATCAGAGATACATAAGTTATGGAGCAAATGAGAATATTTTTAGAGGCAACATTTTCAAAATAACCTGTCATATTTCCCAAGAAGTGCAGCAAGAGGTTTGAATCCTCAACCCTTGATGGTAGTTAGTGAGACTGGAAGAAAATGCAGAAGCCAGAAAAGATGGAAGGGCTTAAGCTGCCCTTCCCTGAGGAACCTGCATCAGGCCCAGACTCCCAACCCAGTGTGGTCCATGGCATTAAAGAAAACAATTTCTCTTTTAAAAGTGAACACCAGAATTGCTCTTTGAAAGTAAAGAGTTTCTAAGACAAGATGATTTGCTGAACTTTCATTTTAAGTCTGCTTAAATGCATTTTTAGCCATCAGTTTGCTTTTGTTTGTTTTTCTCAATGTTGTATTTTCCAAACAAAATATAGAATAAATGCTACCTCACAATTTTGCTGTCATGCAAATAAAGCAGTGAAAATGTATGAAAATTTTCACAGAGAGTCAACTCTGTTCATCAGGGATTGATGAGGTGTACTTGGAATAACAACTGGGTAGATCTTTTTTTTTTTTTTTGTCAGTTACAGAAGATCAGTACTGGGCCGTAAAGGTTTCAACTTTAAGTTGATACATTAAATCATTAATCTTCTAGATGTAAGTGAGTCTGACATAATTAAGTTATCTTAATCCCTAGAGATTTCAGCTTTCACTAAATATCTGAGCACTGAACTAGTTAATATGGAGCAATCACAACTGCTTATCATGTCAACTTTATTCAAAGAGCTTGTTTTTTTTTTTTCTTCTCTGGCACCTCTTTCCTATGTGACACTTGCTCTGAAAGCTGCATCTTCTCATATTTACACAGCTGTTAGAGACCTACAGGAGAGTATTGAAATGTATAACTAAAATATTTCATCTTACCAACAGGAACATGAACAGTGGTTATTCGAGGCTGCTTCAGTCCATTCAGAGAATCATTTCCCAGGGAGGCTTTGATGGCTCAGATCCCCAGGTACTGAAGACCCTCACACTCCTCTTTAATCCTGGAACTGCTGTTGTCTTGCTTTTCAAAGGTGTCACAAGGTCTTGGACAAACTATTAAGGAACAAATTTTTTCTAAGCATTGCTAAAGTAAACAAGCAAAGTAAATAGTGCTGTTCATGTTTTAAGTGAGTTCTTTTGAGTTTTTACCTGTTACAGATATGCAGGACCATGTGAGAAAGAAATGTAAGAGAGCATTAGTAAAATGCCTTTTCTGTGCAATTAGCTAATAAATGGAGGGCCAAATGTAATATAAATAAGCAAAACACATTTTCACCTACATTATTTGTTTTTCCAATTATTGCTTTAGCATAATCTGTTTGAGATTCTTGAGGTTAAACATTTACCCTTCAACTTTCAGATTTTTGTTGTTTTAACTGGTGGGAATTTTATAATTAATTAAATGGTACTATCTTTATGGGGTGAGCATTGAAAGAGAAGTAAAGAAATAAGATGCTATTTCAATTTACAAATCAAAACAGCTTATCAGCCTTCTAAATATCTCTGTGCTCTTCATAAAGCATAATCAAGGGTAATTAAGAACATTTTAAGTGTAACAACATAGGCTGAAAGACCTTTTCTAGTTTGAGCAGTGCCTTATCAGTTAGTCTTTGTCATATTCAGTAACCTGGCAGTCCTTTGGAGCTGATGGAAATCATATCATAAATTGTATATATTGATGCTTAATTGAAAGGTAATTCTTGCTGTACAATAGAAACATTACTGCAGTAGCAGTCAGTCAGCAGAGACACTGGAGATGCAGAAATGATTTCATACAGGACTGTGTGGCAGTGCAGAGTCTCAGCAATCATTTTTGCAGGGCAGATGCACTGGCAAGGACGATCCTGTACCAGGGGGGCTTTAACAGCACCGAGGGCTGTGTGGAAATGTCGGTGCCTGTGCTCGGCACAGAGATGTCTGCCAGGCTTTGCCTTCCCTTGGGTGGCAGTGCCAGTCTGGAGGAGGCCATTGGTCCCTGGCAGGCCCCTCTCCCTGCTCCCAGCAGTAGCCATGGCAACAGGGATGTGTGTCATCCTGCTGTGCTGCACGGGGATGCTCCTCCTGCCTCCGAGCCCTGGGTGACACACACACCCTGGCAGCCCCCAGCCAGCCAACAGCCCAAAACATCAGCCTCTGACTGCTCAGGTTCCTTTGTATGTACAGATATATCAAAGAAAATGAAGGTTTTTCAGAGCCAGCATTTGGGTGGGTTTTTTTGCTTGCAAGTAGGGAAATATTAAATATCACCAATCATTATTTTCTCTACTTTTTGTCAGTCGTTTCAAAATGTCTTACTAGTGTCAGTAAAAGAACCAGAACTTTAACTGAGATGAATGTAACAGTATGTGTTTTCTAAATAATACATATACATTTCTGAGGTGAAGCTTTAAAAGTTAGAGAAGTCCTTTTTCAGGCCAGTTTATTGATCTAGAAAGCCATTAGCACTGTGTACTTCTTTCTGTTTCAAGGGAGGTAAGGCATATGGTTTCCTGGAGTGGTTTCTATTACTTTCTTTTAATACTCTGCTTTTCCCCTTGCATCATCTTTCTTTGTACATTTAAATTTTGTACATTTAGAAGCCTTGTATAATACACACTTCTTAAAAATATATCCAGGCTTCAATGTAGCAGTGGCCCAGAGCACACAGTGGATTTTTTATTGGTCAAATCTCTGAGCAATTCTCTGCTATTTCATATCCTTTTCTGTTTACTGAGCCCTCAAAAGTGCTTTTTTAAGTAGACAGGTATGAAGATTGAGGAGCACTGTATTCTTCTGGACCTGTGTGTAACTCCATATATTGTATAATTGATATATAATCATAAAAGCTTCTGAGAACTTTGTGCATGTACACCCCCCACCCCCAAATAATCCTCTACCCGACTGGTAAAAACTTTCAGGTATTTTTGGCTACTTTCACATCAATATTCCAATGATACTTAGCTTTACTCCTTTATTTGAAGGGGGGTGTGAGGAAAACTGAGCAGAATGTGACTCACCCTAGCTGAGATGATTTGACACAATTAGGAAAAGAAGTGAAAACTACCATTAGAGGTTTAGTAGACCTTTGATAAAATGGTCAGGCACCTCCAGGACCTACCTGGTACATTTAGGTAACATTAGTTTTTAGAACCATCTGCAGGTGGCCATCACAGGTTAATGTTTTTACTGTCCTGCATGGCTTTGTGCACCTTAGCACAGTCATTCCTGTCTGAGGTATGAGGATACAGAAAAGTTGGATCAGAGTTGACCAAAGCAATAACTTACTTGTCCCCACTGAATGGAGTGCCTTTGCCAAGGTCTGTTTGGAAAATCAGGGTTTGAATTACCTGTGAGCTCCAAATACAAGCATCAGGTTTGCATCCTTTCTAAAACCTCCCAGTAACTCTTTGCTGCTGATCATTAAGTGAGAATCCTTTATTAATTGATCATAGTATTAAATTATATAGAATAGTACTTCTTTGTTTCAAAGTATTTTGGGGCTTTCATGTTTGACATCAGAGCTTTAATAGGCAACCATTTCCTTAAAATTTCTTTTATATACTTTGGATGCTTTCAGGGTAATTGTTGGGGGAGATTTTTTTTTTGTTGTTGTCTTGGAGCTGGGTTTTCTGAATTCTTCATAATCAGAATTTCTGCTGCCAAGCCGAACACTGTTACAAAAATTACATGAGAAAAAGTTTTTTAAAAATCAGAAAATAAATCCAAACTTCCAGACTAATGCAGTAAAAGATCTAGTAGTGTATCTAAAAAAATGTTACCCTACTATTCACAGCATTTATTTATTTGGTTGTGGGAGAATATTAGACTTATGCTTTTCTTCTTTTTCAGTTTTGGAATAAACTGTCAGGGCTGTGTAGGCCTGACAGAATTATGCTGGTAGAAGTTCTATTGCTGGCCAAATAAATACATCTGATATTGTCAGATGTTTGAATAGCTTTATCTTTTATTGCTCTTAAGATTTGTTGTTGTGAAATAAGCATCTGTCATCCTCTCTCCATTAAGATAAAATTTTTTTCCTCTGTATGTTGTTCTTATGGATGTTCCTCATAAGAAAAAGTACTTTTTTAATTTAAAAAATTTCTGTAGGTTTTATCTATGTTTGTGTTGAAATTTTGAAATACTGTAACGTTTTCACTGCCTGGTTAATATCCATGATATCTGGATAAAACAGTTTTCTTAAATGCCTGGGTTTTTTCAGATTGCTTAAGTGCACATCAAGAATTGCCTGAAACACTAATGATTAAAGAATTAAACTAAATTAAACTAAAACTTTTCTATTTGCTATTGTTTTTTGAACTGAACATCTGACCCAAGGGGATACCATACAGAGAAGTCAGATTGTGTTGTATTATCCTGTACTGTTGTCCTGATTTTCATACAGTAGTGGGAACAGTTCACTTTTCACAACTGAAGCCTAAAAGGCTGCAAAGCCTGAGACTAAAGAATCTGCCAGAGCTGAAACACAGATGGCTTTCCCAGAGCCTGGGAGTGAATTGGCAGATCAGCTGCCTGGGTAAGGAGCTGTGGATTTATCCACACAAGTGGATAAATGCAGAGCCATGTGAGTCTGACTGTGTGCACACACCCCGGGCTCTGTCTGCCCCTTATGGATAAGGAGGCATTGGGAGGAGCAGCCTCTTGTCTTGTCAGAACCTTTCCTCTGGATTTCCAGAGCAGCTGTGCAGTGTTTTGTTGCTGTTTATTCCAGCTGTTGGAAATTATTATCTACAGTTTATCAAAATGCTTTTCTGTAGTGCAAAAGTACCTGCAAGGTTTAACTTAACAAAACTAGTATTTATATATATGTGTGTGCATGTACAATTAAAGAAAGCTGGCCTTTGAGTATGTGATAATTGATAAAAGATTGGTGTTAATCACAAAAGCATTGGGGTTTGTATAAACCAGAATACTAAGCTCTGAAGTGAAGCATGGACACTAGATAATGGAAATTATATGATAAAATTATTCTGTTTAAAATCACCTTGTTACGTTATATTATGTTGTATTATGTTACATTATAATATGTTATGTTTTTCAAATAAGTTGTATCGGCTACCAGCTTGCAAAATCAGACTTCCCAAAAAGCTCTTCCTGCCTTTGTCTGATCAATACTGCCTATACCAAAAACCAGACTCCCAGAACTTCTCTGGTGGTTATCTACAAGGATGTTTATTCAACCACCACTGCTTATGACAACAAAAATCCAAAAATTATTGATTACAAGGAGAACCCACAGTATAAGAAGAGGCTGCAAACCAAGGTTGGGTGGAGCGTGGAGTGGGCAGTGACCCCTCACGTTCCCCAGCCCTGCTTGGTCTGTTTATATCAAATTTATATCAAATAAAGCAATCTAAATTTTGCTGAATATCGAGACTTTTGTCTCATTTATAACAAGTATGAACCCTGAACTCTAGAAATGTTTCTTTGGTCACCTTGTGCAGGAAGTCTTTCAACAAGGGAGTTGAGTTCATTGTCTCTCTCTCAGCTATTGAAAGCAAATCTATCTAAAATCCTTTCCAAAGACCACCAGGAAAGGTCACATCAAATAAGCAGAAATGAGAGTTGTCATCATGAGAGATAAGATTTTACTTGGCATAAACAAATTACAACTTTGACTTCATAATCTCTTCCTTCAGAAAAGGGGCTTTACCTTGCCCACTGCCTCTGAAGCAGACCAGAAGCTCACATGTCAAGGTGTGGTCCTTAAAGGACAATTTGCTGATGTCCCCATCCCAGTCTGTTTCCACAGCTGTGGCTACAACTTCCTTTATTAGTGGAAGGAGTCAAAAGGAACACGGATGATACTTGGAGGCTTCTAAGCCTGTGACAGGCCCTTGTGTTGCTGAGCTGAGGCACTGACCTTGTTCACTCAGAAGGAGCAGAAAAAGTGAAACGGAAGCAAACAGGCACAATAGTCAGGTTATGGAAGTGACACAGCAGAAAGGTGAGAATGGAGGAAGAAGTTGTGTTTGATTACTCCCAGGCACTCTCAGCAAGCTGTCTTAGAACTGGGAGGAAATACTCTTCTGCATGCTTTTTAAGACAGTGGTGGAGGAGTGAAAGTCATAAAAGGTCCTGGTTTTACTGGATTTTATGTCTGAATATACTTATATTTAGCTGGTTATAAAATACAAATTAGTAGTTCTCAGTATTTCCGTGTGTCTATTACATTTGTATTTGCTTATCCAAGGTATCTAAGCAGTGAAAAAAATCCCATTCCATTTGCAGTTTTTATAAGATCGACTGAGATTATGTAAAATACACATTTATCAGGGATATGCATTCTAGAATTTGTATTCCTCCTAAAAAATAACTACTTTTTTTTTTTTTATTCCCCCAACAGAAGAAGCCAAGGAATGTTTTGCGGATAGGAATCCAGAGCCTGGGCTCTGTACTGTGGGGTGATGATGTTTGTTGCAGTGATCCTCCTGCAGATCCTCACAGCCTGACAAAATTTCTGTATGTTCTCCGTGGCCTGCTCAGGAAGTCTCTGTCAGCCTGCATCATCACAGTGCCTGCTCACCTTATCCAGGTAGGAATGGCTTCTGCTGGATTGCAGAGCTGACACATCACTTAGCTAAAGTTTCAACTTTATGGTAAGAAAACAAATGCAGTTCTGGACATTTTTAAAAGTCTTTTTGTTCAAAGGGTGAAGTTAAAACACGACTATATCTTGTGCTTTATACTTTTGTGGGAGAGTCATGCTGCAAAGTCTACAAAGATCTAAGTATAAAATTCTTTTAGAAACAGTTTTACCAAATATGGATCTTAGTCCTTTTTGGAAAAGCTATCAAAATTCCAGAAACTATAAAAAAGCAAATACCTGTAACAATCTCTTTTTCAATTAATTTTTGCAACATCTCTATGCACTTTCCCAAGACTTTCAAAATGCTTTTTGGAGTGTCAATGCAAGAATTTTCAGTCTACTGTCTTTATCTGTCATGCTCATTATGATGATATCTGATCTTGTTTTTAAAGCCAGGAATTGCAAGGTACAGATTTGCTCTGTGATTCTGATATCCTCTTATACTGGGACTAGGAACAAACCAGTTATGGCATCAGTCATTTTCACAGCTGTAAGATCAGAAGCAATTAACAATATTGATAGAATATGGAGACTTAAATATATCTTCTGAAAATAAAATTTTTTAGCAAAAGGAAAAATGTAGATAGTCTTTTGTTCTGTGAGTGGTACTGTACAAAAGCAAAATTATTATTCACAATGAACAGAGAACCTATAATTTTAGATATTTGATTTGATTACAATAAAAAGTACTGGGTAAAACCTCATATTATGCAAAATATTTTCATAGTAGATGAGATTATCAATAGATTCAATCCTGGCTTAAGTTGGTATATGACTCACATGTATTGCATTTTGTTAAAGGTCTTTGAATACCTGTAAATGTTATTTATTTAGATGCCAATGCAATTACTCCTTCGAAAATAAAGGAGGTTGATTTTCTAGTTGTGCTATTGTAGTAAAAAGTGAGTGAATATTTCTCTCGCAGTACATGCCTCCATCTCTTTACTTTTTTTAAATACTAGGTGGCATTTAAATATTAGTCTGCCTTCAGAAAGAGGGGCATTTAAATTTAATGCAAGAAGTAGAATTTCTGAATGTGAAGCTATCATCCTACTTCTTCCACACTGGAAAAAAATGGGGCACACAACCCTTTCCATTGTAGGCTTCTTTCTATATCATGCCAATAAAAAGTATATTTATATTTTAGAGAAGTACAGAAGCGTCACTAAGAAAGAAACTGAAGTTTGTTTCAAACTTCCTTGAGAAGTTGATTATTGGTTTGCGTTTTTAAATTCTAGGCAGTTAGGACTGAAATTATACCTCATTTTTTAAATAACTGAGTTTTTAATTTGAACAGTAAGCGCTGGAATATTCTGAATTTTTCAAAAAAGAAACATTATGTACAGAATCTTTGCTTAGGTGTCATAAACAAATGAGAGCATTAATTTTTTTTTTTTTTTTATTGTGAAACTTTGGGTATCTTTCTTTAAGCAGCCAGTGTGGGGAGAGCTGTCATTAGGAGGAGCAGAGGTGCTGAGGGCTCCTCCAGCCCACATGAGTGAGTTCCCAGAGCCCTGCTGTGTAGCTGTTGCCCTGTGTGAGAAGCCTGTCCAGGAGCCCCTGGGAGCGTGTGTGCAGCCTGTGCTGCCCTGCTTAATTGGGGAGGCTGGAGAGACACAGCCCAACATGTGCTCATCCACACACAGCAGCCTGCTCCAGCAGCAGCTGCTCCCACTCCCACTCCCAGCTCCTCTGCTTCCCACTCCCAGCTCCTTTCCCACTCCCAGCTCCTTTCCCACTCCCAGCTCCTCTGCTTCCCACTCCCAGCTCCTTTCCCACTCCCAGCTCCTCTGCCACCCACAGCTCCTCTGCTTCCCACTCCCAGCTCCTCTCCTCTCCACTCACAGCTTCTCTCCTTCCCACTCCCAGCTCCTCTGCTTCCCACTCCCAGCTCCTTTCCCACTCCCAGCTCCTTTCCCACTCCCAGCTCCTCTCCTTTCCCACTCCCAGCTCCTTTCCCACTCCCAGCTCCTCTCCTTCCCCACTCACAGCTCCTCTCCTTCCCCACTCACAGCTCCTCTCCTTTCCCACTCACAGCTCCTCCTTTCCCTGGCCCAGGGCTGCATTCAAAAACTAAAGAAAATATCTCTTCTTTCCAGCAGAGTGAGAGAGAGGGATTTCTTTTTGTTCCCAGTATTTATGTATTTAATTTAATAAGTCAGTTCTTGCAAATGCTTTCTCTGTTGAATCTTCTTCACTGAGGGCATAGAGAATTCTCACTGTTTTTCTGAAGACGTAGAGAATTCCCCATTTTTTCCCTGAGCTACTATTCCTGTGCTTCCCAGGTTATAGTTCAGCCCCTAACTAAATTAATTGGGGCTTTAAGTAAATTATTCACATGTGTAATTTCCATGAAGGACATGTAAGTTCAAAATCACATTTAATCAAAGTTTTGTCTGGATGACATATACAAAAAAAACAGTTTCATCTTTACCTGCTTTGTCATGAAAAAGTAGATTTTTGGTAGTGACATAACCAATCTTGTCTCTGTCAGTCTCCAGTACTAGTTACTCCAGTGGAGAAGAAATAAAACAATTGGTAGTACTGATTTTTGACAGGGGCAATGTCTTTTCAATCCAGACTAGTTCTGGTTTTTATATGATGTATATGAATAATGCATATATATATATATATATATATATATAAAATTTTGAAATTGTTTTCTTTTATGTATTTTGCCAAATACTTTGCATGATGTACTGTGGCAGGGAGTTCACAAATTAAATCTACCTGGTTTCTTTCTTTTGCAGAAAGTTTAATTTTGCCTTTTCATATATTATCCTTTTTTTGGCTGGTGAGATATTAAAATAATCCACCCTGTTTCATATTTTCTGTATTCTGGTTTGTAATTTTTCTCATGCTCCTTAATCTGTTTCTAAACAGTCACTTTACCTTATTTCAGTAACATAATACAGCAGTGCTATTACTGTTTGTCCACTTCCCCTAAATTCTTATGGCTGGTTTGACTCTTCAGTGATTACAGAGCATTAAAGAATGATTTTGTTTTGATGTTTTTCCCTCTGTGATACACATGCACCAACGTGGCTCTTTCATTATTCCAGCAATTCATTGTCTTAGATTTAATAGCTTGGAATTGCATTTATCCAAAGATAATGCTCATTAATGCAGCCTGATGGGACAGTTGATGATGTTCTTTCTGTAAGGTTATATATTTTGGTAAAAGACAGAAGTTTGCAAAAAAAGTCTGTTTGTGTGTGGAGTTTTTCCAGAGTAATTGGAAGAATTGTAGTCCACTAAGGCACACAGATTTTGGGGGTTTTATTGATGAAATTTCTAGGGCAAACAGTGCATGAAATAAAAAGAAAATTCTCTTTTCTCAACCACAAAAATAGGAATACATTATTCTGGAAGAGGGTTTCAAGAAAATGACACAAAAACTTATCCAGTTATGAATTTTATTCAGGTGATGTGTGACAAGTTTTACTTGATTGGTATTTTCTACCAATTGAACATACTCTTATCTTACCCTGTCTGTCAGGTAATAAATATTGAGCTACTTACAAGTGTGATTAAAATAGTTGATGGAAGGTTATTTTTCAAGTCTTCCTACTGCCTCTTGAAAATGCATTGTGCCTAAGAAATCATATGGTACATTTGAAAAGGGAAAATTACTTCAATTTTTAAAATCTAGCATTGATCAAGGAGGGCAGATTGAAGAGGCATTTCATTTGCTGTTACAATTTCCAAGTTTAAGGAATGTTAGAAAAGCAAGTAAGGATTCTTTTTCTGCATTTTAATAGTCAGTGCATTTGAATGCCTTAATTTAGAAAAAGAATTTGTGTGCAATTGTGTGACTGAAAGGACTTCAATTTCACTGCTCTATAATGGACAATTCCTAAATGAGAAATTAAAATGTTTTCCCATTGTTTTTCTCTTTTTTAATTACTAGAAATCACTGGTAAATCCAAGAACATACTTTCCTCAAAATACCAAATAATATTTTAAATTCTATTCCTGTTCTTCCCAATTTTGTATCACTTAAGTAGTAGATTTTTTTTGAGTATTATATTCAATGGGGAAAAGCGTAGCACTTGTTAAAGCCATCCTTTATTTTGAACTCAAAGCTGGTATTGCTGGTAAGGACTAAAAACCATATTAGTCAGCATGTACCAAGGGAAATTAATTGACTAATGAAAAGTCAGTATGAATAAGTCTCTTACAGAACCTGTCCTCAGAGTCTGAGGTTCTGTTTAGCAAGGTATTTTCATTATTTCATCCAGTATGTTAAAAATTTAATTTCTTACAATATTAATGTTTTGATGTTTTGAATTCACTGAAGTGCACAAGTTACTGTACATTTCAGTGTAGAAAAATTCAGAAACAAAGCTTTTCACATCCAAAGCCTTTTGTGTTCACACGGGGTGATTTAGCAGCTAAACCCAAAGTCAAGCCATGGAGTGCTTTAGAATCCATTGCTAATACAGGATTAAAAGATGTGAACTCCTATAGCCAGTGAATTTCTCCCAGTTTGAAATCTTTATTCCTATGACAAGAACTGGGAGTGATTTCCTACCTTAGAGCTCTAACTTCTGAGATTTCAGTGGTGTCAAGTGCTGAATAACCTCCAAGTGTGTTTGATGAGGTAGCTGCACAGATTTGTACTGAGATCCAGTGTCATGTGGTTGCTGTATCATGAGTAAGGAAGCTTTCAAATTTCTCTGCAAAATAGAAAGCATGAAGATATAATGGTGGTAGTATTTTTATGTATTGGGTTTTTTTTTTTACTTGCTTTTTAATGTTACATGTTGCTTTTTATTGTATGTGAGTGATAGATTTTAACAACTGTACAAATAAATACCGAGAGTCTTAAGTTTATGACAGGCATTTTGGGTTATCCACATGGTTTTAGAATATGAGTATTTTGGTTTTTAGACGTTCATAAAAGCATCTTTAAAATTCTGACTGAGCAGGAAGCTCAGGGAAGT